GGCATTCGGCAGCTGAAAAAAAGATGCCACACAAAAATTGAGGATGTGGCAAAAGTTGAAGCGGATATGAACTTTTGAACATAGAATGCGAGAAAGAGTGGTTTTTTGTGTGGGCGTAGAGAGGGAGAGAGAGAGAGAGAGAGAGAGTGAGAGAGTGAGAGAGTGAGAGCTGTTAATGGGAATGCACGATGTGAATATTAATTTTAACAGTTTGTTAAATAAACTGGAATGCATAAATTTAACGATTACAGTAGCATGCAAAAGTGGGAAAATTATTTCTTCCGAACTTTGCATTATTTTCTCGATTATTTATAATCCGGTTAAATTTCCCCTATATTTTCAATGGCCAAATTAATGTTTTTAACCAAATCGGTTTCAGATTAGGTTTTGCCCTCCAAATGAACACCAGCAGTGGGATTACACAACTGTCCGTCTGTCTGTTGAAACCACGATACAAATCACATTATTTGATGTAGAGCTTTGATATTTGGCACAATAGTTTATATTGTGCCTAGGATGGTTGCTATTTAAACTGAGAGACTGAAAACATGCAGAATATTTTGCCTTCACTCTATTTGCATTCCCATGATTTGATGCAAATGATGATGTGCAGACAGTAAAAAAGTATTAAGCAAATACTAAAACGAAAATTTCAATTTTAATTAATTTCTTGGAAATACAGTGAAATAATAATTAAACATGTATTGTTGTTTGCTGCAATTATGCCTTAATATTATTTCCAATTTTATTGATTGTGATTTTAGAGCAAACCAAAAAATCTCATCAAGTATATTGAAATCATGTACGGGCGGCAGTAAGGGGCTGAAACTACCGAAATACTATAATGAAGGAGTAAAATTATGCTGTTCACAGTTCAACAATATAAATATAAATAAATAAAAACATTTAAGAAAACCTATGACCAAAAAATTAATTTAAAGATTTTTGCTAAAATACTGTGAAATTGATAGTGTCATAGTGCCAATATTTTCTCAATGTGGGCAGATATTAATCATTTGGTGCAATAAAAACCTGAAATCGGTCGAACATATTTATGGAAGCTGTATCTTTCCAAAACTGAACCGAACTCGATATAATTTGGCGAAGGTATTTATGAGTTCTGTGAAATTGAGTGATTTTAATATCAAAACGGATGAAGCATATATATGGGAGCTATAGCTATATCTGAACCAATTTTCACCAAATTTGATGTTAATGCTTCTACGCTGGATTCACTTCATTTTGCTGATATTAGCCATTTATTGCACAATAAACCTGAAATCGGATAAAAGTATATATGGGAGTTTGGCAGATGTATTTTTAGGCTGTATCTGTTATCCGGTAACAAATATCATTCTTGGGGAGTGGATATTACGAATGTGAGAGACTTAAGCATTAAATCGGATGAAACATGTATATGGGAGCTATAGCTATATCTAAACAGTTCCTCGCTAAATTTGATATACTTGCTTCTAGACTGAAATCGGTCTGATGTGCCAAAATTCTGGTAATTTGGACTGATATTCACAATTTGGTGCACCATTAACCCGAAATTGGACGAAAATACACATGGAAGCTATACATAATTTTGAACAAATATTGTTTGGACAATTTCATCTCAATCAGGTAATAAATAAATAATATATTAAAGGCTTGTAACGGATTCTACCTCCGGTGGAAAAATATGGTCTGTATTGTTATAGCGGTACCTCCCGATATTCGGTGATTTGTTTAATTTTTGGTATTTGTAGTTCTTAATTGTATCTGACTGTGGTGGCTGAACATTGTATAGATAGGTCCACGTTTTCTATCGCGCCCACATATCGGCCCCTACCGATATTCGGTATTTTGATAATTTTAGTCATATTTTACGTGATTTTTTATTTGGTTTTTGCAGTTTGTAATGGGTTTTTAACTACTGTGACATATCATTGTCTATATAAGTCCATGACTATGTGGGACTCCCATATGACGGTACCTCCAGCTATTAAATATTTTTATACTGTCCACCATTCCATGGAGGGTATATTAGCTTTGTCATTCCGTTTGTAACTTCACGAAATACTCATGTCAGACCCAAGAAAGTATAAATATTCTTGATCAGCGTAAAATTCTAAGTCAATTTAGCGATGTTCGTCTGTCTGTCTGTTGTAATCACGGTATCTTTGGAACGAATTGAGATAGAAGGCTAAAATTTTGCACACCTGTTTATTTTGCCAGTAGGCAGGTTAAGTTCGTAAATGGGTCATGTAGGTCCACGTTTTTATATAGCCCCCATATAACGGTACCTCTCGACATTATTCACCGGAGTAGTTTCAAATTACGTATTTAGAGTCCAGGTCTTCGTATAGGCCCCATATATCAGTACCTCCCTATATTCGGTATTTTGACGATTTTACGTACAATACTCACCGAAATTGTTTGAGATCTCGTATTTGATGTTCGTAATGGATGCTACAGCCTGTGAAAGAAAATTGTCTATGCAGGTCCAGGTCTTCGTATAGCTTCGATATAACGGTACCTCCTTGTATACGGTATTTTAATGATGCTACATTATTCACCGTTTATAATACGGTAATGGCTTATAACAAACAATGTCTATGTAGGTCAACGTCGTATAGACCCCAATATAACGGCTATATTCAGTATTTTTAAGATTTTAACAGAATTTTAAGGGATTTTCTTAGAAAATTTCCAAATTCGTTCCCAATGGTGGAGGGTATTCAAACTGCTTTTTAACTTGTGACCATTTATTTTTGTAAACAATGTACAGGTAGCTCTATTGACCGATCTAGATGAGATTTTGCGCAAATCATTTGTTTGGCCCAAGGACGTATCCTACTGAAATTGGAGATAATCGGTCAAAATTTAGATGTACCTCCCATATATATCTTCGTCCGATTTACCTTTACTGTGCACAAAATGTGTAATATTAGTTCAAAATTTGCCATTTGGCAATTTGCCATGCAACTATCAATCGGTTCAGATATAAATAGTTCGTATATATAATTTCCTTTGCCAAATTTTACCGTGATCGGTTCAGATTTGAATATAGCTCCCATGTATATCTGCATCCGATTTCGCGATTATTGAGCCTGAAAAGTGTAATATCAGAACAAATAGGATGGATTTTGATAAATATCGGATCAAACACAAATGCCTCCACAAATTTAATAAAAATCGATTTAGATGAGGATATAACACATATATATATATATATATATATATATATATATATATATATATATATTAGTTCCTTTCGACTTTAAATTACAACTGCTCTAAATCCATAATTCAGAAACAAACATGGTTGATATGATTTATTCATTATAAACTCCATAAAAACAATTATTATTTATGTCTAACTCCCCTGAATATAAAAGTGGTGTAGGGTATCAAAAAGTCGGACCTGCCCTACTTTAAGCATTTCTTTACTGGTTGTTGTTTGCAGTTTTAAATCCAGATACCTTTATATAAAATTGTTTTTTTTAGGTATGAAATTACGTTCTGGTCGAATTTAATATTTATACCCTACAACACTTTGTGATAGGGGTATTAGAAGTTTAATTGGGCCAACAATTATGTAACACCTCGAAATATTGGTTTCCCACGTAGGAAGCATATACGGATCTTTCTATCTCGCCGAGCTGACTCGATCTAGCTATGTATGTCCGTCTGTCCATGTTAATTTGTAATCACTCCACAAGTCGCCATTATGGCCCGATCTCCACGAATTTTAGAATGAAGGTGGGATTGGGCCAGAATAGAAGAGATGATCGCATAATATCTAGGGGTTGAAATGGACCAAAAACTGAAAAATTTATTGATTTTGTAGCTGCTCTACAGGTCGCAATTATGGACCAGAAGTTAGCATGGAGCTAGAGCTTAAGGGTGGCTAGAAGTCTTTCAATTTTGATGATCATCGGGTAATATTTAGTGGGTGAAATAGACCATAACATTTGTGTTCAATAAAAGTCAAGTTTTTCATTAAACCACGAATATTTTTAAACCGGGCGAAATCACAAATAGACGAACAGGTCAATTCTGACCGTTACGTCGATGCCGATAGTAAATATATCGGATATATATAGCGAAATATATACAATGTGTATATACAAAGGAAGGGGATGTTAGCTACAATGCTTATATCTCAAGAAAGGCCGGACCGATTTTGTCAAATTTTGCCAATTCAGAATGCCCTCTTGACATAAAAGCATAAAATCTAAAAAAATCGCATAAAAATGTCATTTGTGATGTTAATATAGATTTTGTAGTATTTTGTGACATATTTTTATTTTTTCATATTTTTTATCGCATGCGATTTTTTCCATTTGACTTATAATATTTTCTAATATTTTTTCACCTTACAACACAGGATGGAGATATTATATTAGGATTGCAAATATCGCCCGATCCTCACGACATTTTTCACAAGGGTAAGGTTGGGCTCAGAAAGGCTAGGCCTAATGTTTTCAAAGATGTCTGCAATATATTAATATGTTATTGAATTTGCAGCCGTTATAAAGGTCACAAATAGAAACCAAAGGACACGAAATCTCGCATAAAGTTAGAGTTTAGGACAGCGGGTACAATGGACCACTAATTTTGTGTGAAAAAAATACCAGCATTACTTACAGGCGATATCCGAAATACACAAAGGGCGAACTTTTGGTTTTTTTCCGATCATACAATTGAAGTCAATCGACACTCCTGTGAAGAGAGTTTAGGACAGGATCTTCCATCTTCTAGCATTTTGGATGACATCTCACATCATGACGGAGTGCATAAATACTGGGCAACTGTCCTTAGTCAAGATCCTAATTTCAAAAGCGAAATCTTCTAATATGGATTTGGACAAAAGGGGGCTTCTAACATATTGTATAACATAGTCGGCCGCGCACGACTATAGCCTTTGCTTACTTGTTATTGTTTTAAAATATGCCTCAATCACATTCATTTTATTTCTCAGAATCTTGCAACTTTCGTTTTATTATTTTCAGGTACACCAGTTTCTTGGATGATGATATCGCCATCCGTTACACCAAGGAAAATGAGTGTGGGTTCCAATAATCCTGCTATGCGATTATATAAATTCGATACGGACTCTGGTCAGGTAAGGATATAGTCGTAGCAAAAATTACAACTCCAATGTATTATAATATGTTCCAAAACCAGTATGGATTAATTAATTTGAAACGAATTTATTAGTATTGTAAAAAAATCACACTAACATCACTACTAACTAAATTAAAAAGATCATCAAAATTTCAGTTTTTTAATTTCTTCTTAGTTTACCTCAATTTGTTTTTTTATTTTGCAAAAATCTTGTTTTTAATTTCCGCTGCTGACTGTTTGTGGTTTTCCTCACAACAAATAACAAAATATTCTTCGAATTTTCTATGCCAAAAAGAGATTTATACGAAATCTTTCATTGTTTGAGGTTTTAGCTTTAAACCATACAATGAATGCTGATTGGCAACAAAATTGACTTTTGGACATTCATGATAATTGGAAATGTGTCTGAAAAGGATTTTTATTAAAAAGTTGAAATCATCATTATTATTGCTATCAGTAAACGTTTGTGTGTATGGTAATTCAATATAATTTTGATTGGTAAAAAAAGAAAATTACATATGTGTAAATAAAGGAAGCGAACTAGGTATTGGTATCTAATTTAACTAGTCGGTATTTGAAGAGAAGAAGCCAATGGGGGCAAATTAAATTTGTCATTCCATTTGTTACACCTTAAAATATTCGTCTGAGGCCACATAGATAATATAGCCTGTTTGGCCTCTGACATAAATTTTAAGGTATTACAAATTGAATGACAAATCTGATCAACACAAATTTCTAAGATGATTTAGGTAATGCCATCATTGTGTCTGTCTGTCTGCGAAAATCAAAATAGGAGCCAACATAGGAATCGCCTTATTATACTGATACCTCCCGATATTTTAGCAGTAAAATGATTACTCATATTGTTTGAGAATATAATACCTGAATATTTCTATTATATCTAGTTTATTTTATATCGGTCTTGCAATCGTAAATTTGGTATAAAAAAGTTGTTTGTCATAGGAGTTGTTTTTTTAATAACTTCTGGGGAGAACATCCCAAAAACCAAGAGAACGGACGAGAATTGCCGGCTCTTTCCGAAACCATGAGCGCTCTGCCTTACCCGCTGGTAAACCCTCCACCGCTCTGGCTTCCGAACCGGTAACGGTACCACCCGATACAAAGTAATTTTGGTGGCTTAGCCATATTTTTAAATCAACTAGCTGTAAATTGTTATTTTGTTTTCGAAAGGGGCAAAAAACATTTTTGGTCAAAATCGACGCAGCCTAGGTTGTGAGGGCCTCTTTCGAAGTAGTAAATTGATAATGATTTTTAGACAATTTTGCTTAAAAATATAATTTTTTTCAGTTGGACCTGGCATTTGCGGTTAAAATCGGAATTATTTGGAATATTTTGGTGTACTTGCTTCTAGATTGAATACGGTCGAATTTGCGAATATTCAGGTCATTTGGACTGATATTGGCCATTTAGTGCATAATTTACCCGAACTCGGCAGCTATATCTAAATTTGAACCGATTATCACCAATTTCAATAGGGTTCGTCCTTGGGCAAACAAATATTGTATCAAAAGTTTCATCTCAATTGGTAACAAATGTAACCTCCAGTTCGTTCACGGACAGACGGACTGACATGTATAAATCGACTCAGAAAGTGATTCTATGTAGATCCTCAAAAATAATCACGGTTCAATATCGCTTCCTTCTCCCCTACCACTATGTGGTGTAGTGTATAAAATATGGACCTAAAATACAATATGGACCTAAAATACAATACCTTCTTTACTCTGTTTGGAAGCAAGAGTGATTTCCAAAGGCGGATAGACATGGCTAAATCGGCATTTCGTTTGTAACTCCTTTAAATATTCGTCGTAGATCCCATAAAGTATATATATATATATATTAATAATCGGCATAAAATTCTGAGTCGATGTAACGATGTCCGTCTGCCTGTCTCTCTGTTGAAAGCACGGTACAATAGATATATTTTTTAAGCAGAAATTTGGCGCAATAGCTTGTAGTATGTTTGGTATTGAAAATAGAATATATCGGTTCATATTTTCGGACAAAAGCATTTTGGTGAGAATTATTGTGTCTGAAGTATTTTGGAAAGCAAGGTTGACACTAAAAATACCAAAGTGTTGATCACTTCAAGCAAGCCCTTCGCCGGGAATGTGCCAAAATACCGCAGAGCAACATTCGGGTAGCGTGGGACGATTTCATTGGCAGTTTGAAGGCCATAATTCGTGCCAAAGGTGACCAATTCGAACAAATCTAAGCTTATTATAAAATTTGATGCTATTTCCGACATTTGGCGTTTGTTTTGTTGCAGTTTTTTTATCTCAGCCTGTATTAAGTCGATTTAGCGATGTCCGTATGTCTGTTGTAGTCAAGCTTTCTGTTGAACGAATTGAGATAGAAGACCAAAATTTGGCGCACATATGTTTATTGTCGGTAGGCAGATTAGGTTCGCAAATGGGCCACGTCGGTCCACGTTTTCGTATATCTCCCATATAACGATAAATCTCAAAATTCAGTATTTCGATGATATTAGCGTCATTATACTATAAAAAATGCGTATGCAGATCCACGACTTCGTATTGTCACCATAAAACGATATCTCCTAATATTCGATATTCTGATGATTTTAGCGACGTTATTCAACGGAATTGTTTTACATTTCGAATTTGAAGTTCGTAATGGATACTTTAACCTATAACAGAAAATTGTCTATGCAGGTCCACGCCTTCGTATATATACATAACGGTACCTCAGTTTTTTTTTGGTATTTTGATGATATTATTTGAAGGTCCTAATGGGTACTACCTCCCATGACAAAATGGGTCGTTTTTAATTGTTAATATTTAATTTTATTTAATATTTATTTCTCATAACTGGCGAAGCTAGTCAAAGATTCTTGAATATTTCTCTTAATCAGAGTTCGGATGTGTATATGGAATATATCGGCTACCCCTTTTTGTTCGTTCCCTACAAATAGCTAAAAGTGGGTAGAAAAACTCGTCGCAGAAAATTCTCAATGTAGATTAATGTTTCCTAGTAGCACCCATATAAAGGTACCTCCCAATTTTACCTATTTTGAGGGCCTCGTCCCTATTTCCCAATCTCTGCGGCCAAAAAATTGCATTAAGGTTACTTTCAGAACAGAAAAATTTATACTTAGGTATATATTTTTTTATAGCCCCATATAACGGTAAGTCCCTGGAAGTGGAAAAACAGGCGATGCAATAGCAAAACTCCAAATGAATGTTTAATTCTTACTGGTAACGCAGATCTGTTTACAGTTTAATGGGTTATTCGGTTGAAATAGATGCTAAAACTTTTGCTAAGGTACAGCTACTAATTTTCACATTTTATTGCTATAATTTCTCTACTTCTTTTTTAATTTTCTGTTTTACCTATTGAATACAATGCCTTTTTATAACACAAAAATTTTATTATCTAAACCAATTGTAATTAAATCTGAAAATAGTAATAGTTTCTTTGTTAACCTAGGAATTATAACATTATTTACTGTGCCCCATTCTTTTGTTGCTGTAGGGTAATCGAAAACCTGTGTGACCTTTGTTAACTTAGCTTTTTCCGTCTTTACTCCACATGCCAACCTCTCTCTCTTCACGTTTTCGACTCGAGACATTTAGTCACATGAGACTATGGTTTTCCACATACAAGTGCTGATGTTTTGAACAATTTTCATTTGATTTATCGATTCTTTTGTTCGAATCGTGTTCGTTTCGTTCTTCTCCAATGCATTCATTTACACTTTCAAACACAATTGCATTCCGTACGGGAATTTAAGCAACAGAGAAAGAAAAAAACTACGACTCTTAAAACTATTAGCTGTGACTTTAGAAACTGTGTGTGCGTGTGTGTGGTCTCCCAGCTAGTGGGAAATCTTTCATTTAACAATATTCGTTATTGGTGTTGGTGCTCTGCAGTTTCATTGTGAGTTTCGGCAGCATATCTATCGATAAATGAAGACTAGGCGACTGACTCATGGGTACACCATAAAACGTAATGATTTCCAGGACTATGTGCCTAGTACACATCCTCAGACCATTGAATGAGAAAATAGCAAATTTTTTGGCAAGTAGGGAAAGAAATATATTTCGATTAGGTGTCATTTTGAAAAATACACACATTTAAATTTGATTTTACCTACCACATTAAAACCAGTAAAGAAAGGTCAAAAGGGAGGGGCTGACTATATGATACCCTACACCACTCTGGGTATTTAGTAGAGTTCCCGCAACAAAATACCAACCAATCATACCAACTATAAACGATATTTGAATGCATATCATGGCTTTAGAACTATATCCAACTCTGACTCAATTTTCAACAAATTTGACGGAGGCTTTAGTACCAAAAATCATTGCTGTATAGTGCATGATATGACTTCGATAACAATTATATTTAACCAGTAAAGAAAGCCTTAAAGTCGGTCGGGGCCGACTTTATGATATCCTACACCACTTTGCTAATTTAGTAGAGCTCCACATAACAATTAAAAGTTTTTATGGGAGAATTCAATCATACACCCTATGATTATAATTATAATTTAAAATTTAAAGGACAAAATATTCCGAAGCATTTGCATCTTTAAAATTCGGACTTGTATTGCCCATTTGGTGCACAATTAATTTTAAATCAGATAAAAATATATATGGGAGCTATATCCAAATTGGAACCGATCTTGATAAAATTTGGCAAAGATATTTCTGAGCTGTATTTGATATATTTCCCTGAATATCATTGTTACTGAGTGCATATTACGGCTGTGGGTAACAAATATAACAAATCGGATGAACAATATATAAGGGAGCTATAGCTATATCTTAACCGATTTTCACCAAATTTGATATACTAGCTTCTAGACTCAATTCGATCGTAAGTGTCAAATTTCATCCCATTTGGGCAAATATTAGACGTTTGGTGCACAATAAAAAGTAAATCGGACGAAGTTATATATGGGAGATATATCCAAATCTGAACAAATCTCGATAAAATTTAGCAAAGGTA